CGTATCTACATCCGGCCGTGAATGCTAATTGACTCGAGCAATGAGACTCACCACGTGTACTTGAGGTGGCCAGTTTATACATGTACATGCACACGTACGTCAGGTTCCTAACCTGTCCGGACATAGTCATTCTAATGCAATTTTAGCTTGTCCCGCTGCCCCGATCCCCACCGACATTTTAACTACGATCCGAACGTAGAATGAGTACCTAATGGTTTACAGCATCACGACCAGTAACGTCCGGTTCACCGGTACACACATACACGTATGTACATGTACAATGCACACACAGTTTTCTGCCAAACTGACCCAAAGCAGTACAATAATAGATTGTGATATCATGTACGTGTACGTGTACGTGACTGTAATGATATCGAACCTGGTAGCACGTGGATCAACGTCAGCACCAGATGCTACTACCGTAGTCTTGCGGAAACCCATGGTTATGTACAAACATGGCATGCCTCTTTATAACACCAACATGCTCAAATGAATGTCTGTGTACATGTACTTGTACTTCAAGTTCATACAATGTACATGTAAATATAGGTGCGGATAGTTACATGTATTTGGACCATAAGTTCCATAACCCATAATTCTGATCGCAGGGGCAGGAGGTGCTCAGTACCTCCTGCTTCCATCTGTGCAATGAAGACTGCAAACTTTAGAAAGAATTTCAGGAAAGATGCAAACGCGAAAAGTCTGAAGAAAAATTAACTGTCGCCGGCAGGAGGACTCGAACCAGGGAATTGTGTTTTCAGGTGTTGTTCCCACTTCTACTGCATAGGACTGCATGACCTAGTAAGACTCCGTAGTCTACGGCGCATCAACAAGTTCAGGACTCGCTACGGTCTCCTCTCCAATCGGTTCAATGTGGGGATTCGGGTAGAGTTGGAACAGGCACTCGGAGCGGATACATGTCATGTACACCAGCAATACATCAATACTTCGCAATAGATAAGAGAACAATTGCAGGTGATCAAAGACGTACTTGGTACAACAAAAGCGATGATGACAACACCGGCGTGCACGTAGACGTTGCTTGACGTTGTGGGGTTAAGTGCTGGTCGTGATCGTTATGATGCCATCCACCACGGCCAGTGCGATCTCAAGTTCTAGTCATATTAATCACCATGTATGGCAACAATACTATTTTGGCACCGGGGCTAGGGCGCAACCTTACATGTATCTCGACTATGACTCATTCTCATAGAGTCACGCCCAATGGCCAAAGACATCTACATTGTACATGTACGTACGAACAACAGCTAGCTGTCCTGGCATTAATGATCCTGTGCATGATAAATTGATAATCGGTTGGCAGCATATTACATGTGTCTATCAAACAAGGCTTATAATAATACTAATCGTGTACATGTCCATAGAACAAACTCCGATTTAAAGTGGTCCTTCTGTTCTGTTGTTGTCGTTTACAGCGACACGTACATGTAGCTTGCGCTCAACATCCCTCCAGAATTCCTGCATTAACAAGCGACCAGACGTCAAAGAAGAGCATGGCTTTCTGGATCATGGGACAAACACGAGACGAGTTTCATCGGTTACCCGGATTCGAGCAATTGTAACATAAAGAGGAGCACAGGTGTACATGTATGTCTCATGGATGAGGAGCCTTGTACCCGGCCAGCAGGCGCCTCCAGGACTTCTGGAGGATTCATTGGCTTTTTGGAGTCTACATTATGTACTGAGTATACAACATTCGGCGTAATGCGAGAGCCGAAGTTTCTCCATGCATAATGGTGAATGGAGGAAAAAGAGAAACACCTGAACACTGCCCGTACGCATCATGTGAGTTCCATCCAATATCCACAATCCAGGCGCCTTGCTCGTACGATGTCTCCTATTCCTCAGACTCAGTGACTCGCCTGAGTCTGAGGAATAGGAGACATCGTACGAGCAGGTACTGCATATTCTGCTAGTCTAGATCCTGAGAGTGAGAGGCGTTGTGCGAATTCGTGTCTCAAGACATACAATATGCAGCTCAGTTACGACGAAATACGATTGTGTCCTTGAGGGCTACACTTGTAAAATAATCGCAGGCTTCATGATCAAGTTGCCAAGTGCCAGACACCGTCATTGAGACAGTTACGACTATGCACGGGCATAACACCTGCCGCCAGGCCGGATCAATCCGGTACGGCGGTTAAATGCACCGACACAGACGTTAAAGATTTTAAACCAACATACATGTACATGTACACAATCATTGTAAATGTACTGCCGCCATGTTGTCGCAAATTCTCATTATGGTTACATTGGTGGACCGCTAGTCATAACTCGTAACAGCTTGTCCTTCCTCTAATACATGAAACTTACTTGTTCAGACTGAAATGTTACAACTGCGACTGAAGAAGAAGTTGGTAGCTCCCGACATTGCTGGGCACTTTGAAAGGCCAACGAGCTCATGAAACATTGACGTACAGCCTACCCTACACTGGCTACAGCCTAGTACAGGTACATGTACATGTACATGACGTACATCATTACAATTTACCTGCACTGGCATGGCAGCGCACTACATGAAGCTTGGATGTCCGTCCGCATGGCAATCTAGTCCAGCGTGGCAGTGTAGACGTACGTGCAGCTTGGCCCACAATAACACAGGGACTAGGGACATGGCACTGCAGTGTTCCCTTCTATTCACATAATTATTATTTCAAGCATGGATATGACGTGGCCAGCCAGGTTGACAATCGCCGATATGCTGGCAAACGGTGATTCTAGACGAGCCTTGTCATAGTAGTGGCTGAAATAATGAATTAAAATGAATGAACACGTTCCACGTGGACACGCTAGCAGTAGTACACTCGCCAGTGTAATTACATCATCATCATCATGTGCCGATTTTCACGGATTGATTAGTCTCGACAAAATTTCCCGTTGACGAATATCTATGGTACTGTGCTCTCAAACAAACTTTAATCCACAGGCCATGTGGTGGAGGAGAATTCCATATCTGGGTTAGCTGTAGCCTCCCGCCCACCGGCTTTCCCTGGAACGTCCATTCTGCCCGGTCTAGAAGTAATACTCGAACTACAAACCTAATGTTGCTGTTGTTAGTCATTACTTTGCAAAGTCCCAGCTAAATACCACCCACATTTGTTTTGGTGTATTGGAATTCACCAGGCCCATACGTTTCTTTGCGCGTTGATTGTACACGGAGATGAATACAGTCATGTACATGCATGCAGTGCGTGGCCACTTGGAATCTGGTTGAACTATCGCACAATGCACAGAATGAAACTCGTGCCATCAACAGAGACCAGGAGGCAACCTAAAATATTTTTCAATGTTGTCCCATGATCGTGTTCTTGTGAGACTCGGATGAAACAACACCACTGCTTGTCCGCCACTGTTGTCCATGAAGAAACTTCGTTTGAAGTGTACATACACTGGATACACTACCACTGGCACTGTTGCACATGATCATGAGACAACTCCCCTAGAATAGAGAGGGTCAGAACCGGGGCTAACACCCATATGGTTCAGATGGTCGCAACTGACCGGGGCTCTACCCACCGTGGATGGTTGTAAAAAGGTCACTCACTGTTTCCGAACACGGTGGTCCTCCACCTTGTTTACATGCTGTCAATCAACAACATAATCGTACATATGCAATCATGTACAGTGCTGGAAACTGAAATCCGGCCCCCGTAGCGGTGCGCTAGCCGCGTTAGCGATTCGTACGAGACGATCGGGGTCGGATTTCAGTTGTCAGCACTTTACGTGTACATATTGTAGGAACTTAAGGAAGTACTCCATCTCCTAACAATGCATTATTCAATATCAACATTATCATGCCACTACTTGTAATCCACGTATTGTAGGCTCACAACCATGGCAACTATGCCTATGGGCTATGGGGTGCTTGAAGTTGATCAGTGCATGATCATTGGCAGTAGGCATAATGCCACACTGCCTCACACTGAACAAACTGTACGTACTGGTGTTCTGCATACTCTTGTCGTCTTGAGGCAAACGTCACTGTAGACTAGGGTACTGAAAGCCTGTGCTGAAAGGCTGTACTCAGGCTGTAGGTTATGAGCAGTAGTGTGGGTTGTTTTGCATTTCAGGATTTCCCCAGACATGTCGACAGCGCTTCCAGACCCGTTCCCTGACCTAGGCCCGCGCCCTGATACGCACCATAACGTCATTGCCTTTAATAATATTCCAGACGTACTGTGTATGTGTGGCATGTCTTGTCTCTACGACTCTAGACTAGTATACAGTACAGTAGCTGGCTCTCACACTCACAGCTCTGCATCCAGGCACGTAACGTCGCTATAACTGGTTCACGTGGTTCAGTGTCTCCAGCCTAGCCAGCTGCATGCCACTTGTCAGATTCCCAATGCAGAACCAGTGCAGTGACCAAGGACGTCGATGGTCAACCAGCACTGCAGCAGAGCTGGCTAGAGTGACCATGGTGACAGTACGTCAGCATGAGCACAAACCATGACGTGCATGAAGACTTGAACTTTGACTTTGAAGTACAGACGTACATGTACATGGCAGCACTGCCCTGAGCTGGACTCGATATCTACTGACCACTGTATGACTATGAGCTGAGGAGTGAGATAATGGTTGCGTGCGCTGCATGCAGTTCAGAGACAGTGAGTTCAGGTGTTCGTACTTGGGCGGCCCAACAGCAGCGCTGACAGCACAAAGACTAAGAATAAGACTTACATGTACATGAAGTGATTGAAGACTGTAAGAGGCCAGTGCGTGTACATACATGCATGTGCCGCTGCTACTGGCATATGTCGCATTATGTGGGTAAGCCCCACACGCGCACGAAACATGCACAGGGGAATTTTCCGGCCCTAAACTCTGCAGACAACACAGGTAAAACGACGTCCCTATCCACCTCCACCGTACTGTACTCCATGATCCCTATCTCTGGTTTATAGATATTATTGGCCAAGCCTACAAAATTGGATCAGTTCACTGCTAGCTCTTGCCAAAGACAGACCAACACTCTGATTCTGAAGTAATTATTATCTGCCAAGACTGCCAGTGCTAGTGGCAAGGTCTATTCATTTGAGTTTCGCAGATAAGAGGCAGTGTGCAGCTTGTACTAAGTTGTAGCACTAACGTTAGTAATAGTAGCACTATCTCGATTACATGTAAACGTGGTTTGGTGGCGTGTGGGCACCACTGTCTGTAGAGGGTATTGTGGTGAGATACCGTCTTAAAGAATATCATAGATATAATCAGTACAGTCTAGACTACAGTACACACTACAGCTAGCAGTGCAGACCGTTGCCCGCTACCAGACTAGTACTGGCACTAGCAATCTGTACTTCTTATACGACTTACGAGTTGCACAAGTCTTTCTCACTAGTAATACTACGAGTGAGGCCTTTGAAGTCGTTGCCTTTAGTCTCTACCTGGTTTCACGCGCGAAGCAAGGATACGTAAAAGAAGCTCGTCTGGTTTGGACCATCAGCATCAGCATGAAGACTTCCTGCAGACTGCAAGAGCGGATACCGGTGATCGGCCGTGGGGCACTGCGGATAGCAGCTCTCTTCGTGGCGATCGCGCTGTTACAAGTGTCGGAAGGTAAGCAGGTGCTGTGTGCTCTTTGCGGTGGATTTTGTATTCAAACTACATGTAGATGTACATGACGATTGTACTCTAGTCAGGTGTGTACATACACATGTACATAGTTTTCAGAGCTACTTTTACTAAGTTTTTTTAAATGGCTGTAATGGCTGTGTACATACATTGTACATGTGCATTGTACATGACACCGGCTTTTAGAACCCGAGCTAGGCAGTGTACTGGACCGCAATGCTGAACGGACCTGGTGATGTCTTTTCATGGGCGATACTTCCTATGCACACATGTCCATGCGCTCGATTCAAAAAGAGAGTGCAGGCCATGTGTACGTGTATGTACTGCATAGTGATCTTGTAGTATTGTCATGTACGAGTCATGTAACACGTTGTAAACAGATAGTCATGGCTGCTGAATGATGTACCGCCGTATAGTTGGTCTATGAACAGTTTTAGTGAAAATCTGTGTGAGGTACATAACACGCAAGAACACCAGCTCGGTCGCACCTTTCCACGGTTTATTGTATTGTAAACAGAGTCTGGAAATCCAGGGTTAAAGATGAGAAAGTCTGTAGGTGTAGGATTGAAACTGACCAGTGCTAGTAGTGATCGCTATACAACATGAATCATTGCAAGGTTGCTTAGAATAGCAAACTACCTTATAGGAGTGTTGGTACACAACTTCGTCACAAGGAGGAATGTTGGTACGTGTCCAAAATGAACATTACAATCATCTGCATTGCACTGCAGTATGCGGTGGTTACGCTAGCAGCAGTAGTGAGCTTACATGTATTTCGATAGCCCAGTCCTGGGTGTTCTGAGCGCCACTCACGCTCGCGACTCCAAATATCCCCTCGAATTGGACTGATGATGTAGTGCTGTTGGCTTCGAGTCTGATCGAGTAGTGGGCAGTGTGCTGCGTGTAGTCACATGTCACCCTCTACTCTAGTACAATAGCAAAGGATTTAGTAGTAGTAGGCTTCACAAGTAAGTAGTTGACAGGTCACGATGCATGGATGGCAGGCAGCATTTCAAATTCAAGGCTCATGTGTATTTTGTCCGTTCAACTGTACTTCAAGTCATGCCACACAAAGTACTAGTAGTAGTACTGTTACTTAGTGTTAGTTAGCTGGGCGGTTGTAAAAGCAAAAATACTGTCATACTCATAATAGCCTTGCTAACTGCAACTACCGGTAGTGGCATACTCTCGCAGTCTCACTACCCGGGGCATGTTCGATTGCGCGTAGTACTAGTAGTACTACGTACTCAGTAGTCTACTCACTGCACATAATGTACATTGTAATCATTCGATCTGGGGTTGCCTCCAGCCATGACCATGTTCATGATGTAGCTCTCCATTCAGATGTCAAAGCATAATGTAAACGTACGGTACATGATTGTACATGTCACTTCACCATCCGAATTCCCTGATTCAGCAAGGATTGAGGGATTTTCGGCGCAGACCTAGACATTCGTTTGTTTGCCACGCTCCTGTTGTCTTTCTGCCACTGCCACTCGCCCAGGCAATAGTGCCGCCCTGGCATCGCACGTGAGAGCCGCTTTTGTTTGTCCGGCTGTCTGCGAACACACACATATTACATGTATATTACATGTAGCTGAAGATCAAAGAGACTACAAAGGGACTGCAGGCGTGGTCTTCTCTGACAAGTGTTACTGCATTAACGGACTCTCTGGGACACTCTCCATTAGTTGACTTTTACGAAACAGAAGCAACGCTGTCTGCGTATTATAGTATCAAGCGCACAATCGTGCTTGGTGAGGTCTTGGCCCGATCTCCAAGTCTAGAAGTGACTTGCCATTTCAGAGCCACCGTTCCAGCTAGAGATATTTCAGAACCACTCCTTCAAACAATGCCGTGTGAACTGTATCCGTCCGTTTTCCAACTGACACTGTTTGCCCATCGGTGGTTTACTAGTCCGACAATCTACTCGCTGTTGGGAATCCACAAAATGAAGACTATAGTTCTCGCATAGCGATGTTACTACTGGTGTTAGCATTTGGACAGTATGGCTGGTTTCGGGAAGCTTCAAGCTGTGGATTCGTCGTCCCGGTCCCCGAAGGAGACCCACATTCCCTCCGCTATCGCCACGCCCTCGGTTGCAAATACATGAATCTCTCAGTCTGGCGGTATCAATCCCTGATGGTTCGCCTCACGCTAAGGCATCCCCTGGTCGCTGTCCACGAGTAGGTAAACCCTGATTCTCTCAGTGCTCTCGTGATCATGTCGGCGTATATCAATCGGGTTCTGATAAAAAATAATATTGGTGCGCTTAGTTACTGTCCTATCTCGTTGCTTGTGGTGTAGCCTCAAACGTCCCTTTCCCTACACCGTGCAGGCGAGATAGCTATTCAGAGCGTCTGGCGAAAGGCAAGACATCCAACTAAGAATTCCCAATGTCCACAAGATTCCGCGGCCACGTACATGTACATGATGCAGCTGGCGTAGAACGGAAACTGAGATGCTAGCATCGCAAATGTCATCGAACTCCGTACGACTATGACCATAACTTGAAAACGATACATTTTCATGTATTGTGTATTTGTAACACGCTGTCGCATTCTACTAAAATTAAGTCCAAACTGAACAATTACATGACTTTGTACAGTCATGTAACTATGTCCACATGTACAATGTCATAATTATAGAATTTGATTTTATTTACTCTGTGCTTCAATCTCTTCATTCATTCTTTTCGTGTGTCGCTGACCCCAGGTTCGTCCAACGGTCAGGATTACATCAGCATGACACCAGAAACCCCAAGATACATCGTCTGGTCGTTCGGGCCAGGTTCGCGGACGAAAACACTGCAAGCCAATGTCGCAGGTAAGCCTTGGAGATGCATGCGCACTAGCAACGAGTTATCTCACCTGTGTTCTTTTGAACAGAGTAATAAACTAAGTAACACGTTAGTTACTTGCCATGGGTGCATGTGCATCACTCGGCCTAACGCACGTCGACGCCCCTTTTCAATAACAGTCTCTGTGGGATACATGTTCAGTGCGAATATTCAATCCTACCTTAGCAGCTAACTATTACCATCGCAATGATCCTAAACGCAATTATACTGGACGCACACTCCACTTAACTGGCAGATTGCCATTTTCACCTCAATAATCAGATGACAAGGGAAATATTCCCTCTGATCCAATGCCAATGGCAATGATGCTGCGTCCGTGCTAGCACATCACATGGCCCACGCGCCTGAGCATTGTGCAGGGATGGAGCACACGAATGCGTTGGGAGAGATGCCGGCTTGAGGGTCATCCCAAGAAACAGATTTTAATCTCCACCTCAGGATAAGTGTCACATCGATGTGGTTATGAATACCAGCAAGAGTACATACTACACATTTAACTGTTGTAACACGTAAATCGGTTCACGTCCTCTTGACACCACTTGACCCAGTGCTCATAAAACCTTATACAAGTGGTACCACCCCCCCCCCCCCCAACCGTTTCCTGAACTGTTGAGTGTACCATGCACAGTGCTACGTCAAGTAGCACGCACTACATAGTATATTATTGTAGAAGTTCTAGAGCACCACACTAAGCTGCGGTGGTTTCCCACCAACACCCTATTATAATTATATTATGGCATGGCCTAGTACCCACCTTTGGTAGGCTGAGCACGAACTGTGCTCATGCCATGGGCAGAGGTCAGCTAACTAGTATTGCTTACAAAGCCTAACTCATACATGCAGCTGACTGTGGAATATTGCACATTACTAGTACATGTACATGTAGTACATGTAATGTTGAACTAGTGTTTGGCACTGGGCCAGAATCCTTTGAAAATTATACCCGCGCTCTAAATTCGCACCTGGTAGATCAATTGTTCTTTCCTGCTGCCTGAAGTCCCATGGACTTGTACAGGTGAGCAGATCAGGACACTGTCCCGAATCAGCTCGTTTGCCCTAACCATTTCCATGCACTATACCCATGCCATGGGCCACCATCACTAGCACCCGCTTATCTATGCAGTTGCCCAATGCCATAGGGATAGCGCATAATGTGCAATATTGCGGTTCTAGGTGTTCAAGGGGGAATCCACCAGAAATAATATGAAAGAAATCGTTGTAGTATGGGTTCAGCCACTTCCGCTCATAAAATGCTTTTCGACCACTTCTCTCACCACTGACTAAGGATTGTGAAAACGCAGAACACATTGCTGTAATATCTTTGCAAAAGCACCTTTTGTTGTTGTTTGCTGCATGCATCTGAGCTGGAACCGGTACCAGAGCTGTCTACAGCAAGGAAGCGAAGGCTATGATGAAATAGGGGAGAGGGAGAGGTTGAGCGCATTCTAATTTCGATAATGATAGTGAGTTCTAACACGTTTTTGTTCTGCTCTTTCCTATGTCCCTATGTGCGGATAGGGGTAGCCTTACTACGGAATCCAACCTACCAGTGGTATCACAAGTCTCTGTCATCATCACCTGTCTATGAAAACGGAAAGACATTTACATTGACGGCGCGGGGTACACAGGACGCGGGGATCTACTTTTGCAGAGTGAAAGGACAAGTGTACGAAAATGGAAGGTAAGCAAGCAGACGGTCGGTCGCCGGACTTGTGCCACGCACACGCCGCCACACAGAAACCTGCATGGATGGCCATAGAGCAATTGTAATCTGCTGAATAACACTGCAAGCATCACCTGTTGTACCGGTACATGTATAGTCTTTCTCAAAACACTCATCACGTTTAAAGAAAACGCATATCTTGACTCGCCCAATCACCGTCATCATCATCGCATTGGACTCATATCGATTCTTTCAAGCTGTTTTTAATACGTTCAGAAATGTCTATCTTTCATACTCCTGCCCTACAGGCAAGACAAGTGCACTGATAAGTGCAAACATGTGCCCAAAAGCTTATATTTCACATGCATTTGTCTAGATGGCTAGCCAACACTCTCCTCATCACTCCTTCTTTACCAGTATACATGGTCCCGATGATTTACAGTGAAAGAAACACATGTCTTGAATGTTCTCGGGTACGTCAATACATAACGGTAGCACTGCTCTTGTACTTCTTGCTCAGATTCAAGGATCACGAGATAATTCTCTCCCGTCACGTCACTGTCTACGCTGACGTTCAGGATGCGGTGTGCGGCGAACTGCCCTGGTTCATGGACGCCCGTATCAAGCAGACCGGCCACTGCTCCAAGAACAGCACTGGCCGGATTCAGGTGAGCGAGGGAGAGCGCCTCGCCATCAACTGTACAGCTCGGGCCCTGCACGATGGCGTCAACGGCAACGCCTACCTGTAAGTCTATCTCAGCTAATCATCTTCCCACCTTCACAAGTTTTGCAGGAACGTGGACTTCAGAACTACATACTTACACATAGCTATGAGATGGCACTGTTTGATACAAATTGTTGCACGAATTATACTTACGCAGTGACTTGCAACAAATTACACGCACACGTGTATGGAAAGCCAAGCATGGTAATTTGACCAATATATGATAGCTTCTATGATCTATTGTGATCTCCTGGGTTTGTCTTGTTCAGCATCAGAACTCCTAGCGGCACCACACAGGCCACGGCAAGTCTGGTTGTCGGCGCAGTGAAAATGTCGCACTCGGGAACATACGTGTGCAGGGCGGCCAATGGCGTCTCCATCATCTACGCATACATTGACGTCATCGTCAGCAAAGCAGGTAGGCAGAATGAGACAGCCATTCGTAATTGTTCTTTCTTATCTCTTTCTCCGTGATTTTTCTTTCTCTGTGTCTGATCGCGGGGATAGTGTCATTCGTAAAAAAAATAAAAAAAAATAAAAAGCATGAAAAATGTGGGCACAAGTTATGCGATCGAGTCCACCAACTAAACCAGATTTTGAACAGTCAGACGTGCACAATCTAGCACAAAACTGACCATTCAAAATCTGGTTTAGTTGGTGGACTCGATCGCATAACTTATGCCCACATTTTTCCATGTTACAATTTTTCCTTGGCTCACCATTTGAGTTCTTAAATAAAAGGCCTTATGCTAGGAGCAAGAATATGATACATGTGAGCAGTGATCAGATGAGGTCCAGCCACGTGATCCTCTACATTATTTGACTAGAAAAACTAAAGCTGCGACAGGAAAATTTAACAAACCAATACAGCGGAGCATGTTGAGCCCGCAGTCCAGCGTAAGCAGTGGTAGGACTGAACTGCTCTGGGTACACGCTATCCAGCCCACAAGGTTCAATTTCACCTACCGGATTGGTCCAGTCATTCTTCCTTGCCTGAATCCAGTCTTGCGCAAACAAACCCTAGAAGGAGGGAGTTCAGAGAGAGCTGATTGTCACAGATCCTTCACACATGTTCGGTGGAGTAGGCTAAGTATTATTATGGGATCAAAAAAATGGGCAGTCTCTTTTAAATGTGAACAAGTCGACATGGATGAGTGCTTAATGCAGTGTATTGTTATTCTGCTCTGTGCATGTGTTTCCAAATTTTAGCACTCCCAACAACTCCAGCTTCACTCTCCCAGTCTACTCCTGTTCATATTCCAAGCATGGGTGTACTAACATCGCCAGGAGAAAAGACTCTAAAAACTAGCAGTACTTCATCACCATCAACTGACCATCCCCAGCCCAAGACTACAACCAATGATCGTGGCAGTTCTGAACCGAATGATTCAGCCCAGGTTTTTAGCTTGTATATTATAGTCAGCGGGGCAGTGTTTGCCGTCATCGTTGTGTCAGTGATATTAAGTGCCATTGCCATCAGCAGAAGAACCCCACAGACTAATATTCAGATCAACAAAGGTGATCCTGAATGTGGCAGAGCTCATTCGGCAACTCACATTGCCAGTCAGCAGCCTACGGTCGTAGCCTCTACTCAGGTTGAGCACACCATTGCAACATGCCACTCGGCCACTCACGTTGCCCACCAACAGCCCGCCACAGTCGCAGCATCCGCTCCTCCGGTCGACTCCGCCACTCTGCCAGCATGCCAGTCGGTGGTTGTCATGACGCAAGGCGACACCACGGGCACGTGTGTTTGATGATGATAGGCAGCCCTGGTGTGAGTGGCGCTGCACTGAACATACACACTTGTACATTCTGCACATAACATATTTGTACTCCAGAGGTACATGTCTACGTACTTGAAACTGTACACTATCTTGTATGAAATCAACTCCTTCCTTCAGACTTGAATCCATCCAGACAACATAATACAGAATCTCCAATAATTTATTACTATGCATTTCCATAACCATTCCAAGAGGCTCTTCTTTCCTTGATAGATTATGGGGCAGTGTTTATCTCGCTACGAAATCCCTTGAGAGATGTACCAGGATTCGCTTGACTCCTCACCTTATTTTATCCGTCCAGATGTTCTATTTATTTCCGGCTGGAGACTCTCTCCGCCATACAGCTGCGGTTCATCTCTATTGCACCAACAGTGCTTTAGACTAGTTCATGGTGCAACTCAGTGGCCACAAGGCGTGCAGCTCTTTCTTTCTTCAAATCCGTTCTACATCAGAATTATTCTCAGACTCACAATATTCGTTCAGAAACGCTTTCACTCGGTCATGTTGTGTACAAGTACATTGTACGTATTAAAGTCGTAACGATACATTTTGTAGTTTATTTTCTGTATCAAGGTGATTATGACGTTATCACTTTTCTTCTGCATTTTACTATTTTTTTTAATTTCAGTAAAAAAGGTGTGCGTTTTGCTGGTATGGTGTGTGTAAGTTTTACCGGGAGTAGTAAATCTACTTACTTCATGGTTTCCATGGTTTCAGGCGATTGGCCCAGTACCAGTTGGTGTTGTGAATAAAACCATTCTCTCAGTAATTCTACTGTGATTTCTAGAATCGTTATATCCATGATGGCCAGATGACTGTCATCGACTCTTGCACACAGTAAATCTACTGTTCTACGCCCTGATTTTCAATACAAGTAGTTTTCAATCGAGAGTTGCACTAGCACCTGAAACACAGCTACGTGAGACTGGTGAGTACAGCCCTATACCACAGAGATAACTGGATGGGGGGGGGGGGGGTATCGCAAAGCCAAGGGAGGCCAAAATGTGCAGAGCGACAATGCATGCCATCCTGGATATCCGATGCCTGGTACATTTTGTAGTACGCAGGGTTATGTATGTGCATGTACGTATATGTGTGCCATCATGAGGGTAGGCCGAGGTCGTATGATCTGTCAATTCCTGGGACCGACATGCCATACCACGCCGTCGTCCGCATCCCGGACGGGGGCAAAGCTTGTCGTCTCAATCTGTCATTCGTAAATGACCAATAACGACATTTGGTTAGCATTCTCCCGGAAAATGTATGAATGACTAGAAACAAAACGCCAACTTGGATAATGCTAGGCGATAACTCTTTTATCAGCCAATGCGGTGTATGAAAGGCTATGGTGAGCAGTAATGCCATGGTCGTCATGTACATGACAATGTAATAGTGATACCGGTGTAGGCACGCATAAGGCCAAAAAGCAGCATTGACTAATAAATAAATTTCACGGTTCGCGTGAGACTCGGCTAGAAGTAGAAGCCGAGTTTTCCGCATCCGCCGTGGGAACGCCACCACCCTCTAGGATCAAGACGCAGATGCAGCGCCTAAACGGTGGGAGGTGAGTAGATAAGACCCACCACCAAGTGGTCAAACTCAAAGACCAAAATACACGCGTTTGCTTTGCCTCCACACGGATAGACGACCAGCGCAGAGTCCCGCAGCTCCGAGGCCGTAAGGTCTTGACAGTCGCCATTAGTTTGGATGGAGAAGTAGCAACTATTATCACCATCATAATATTGGGCACCATTGCCCGTTTGGTCTGCGATACAAAATAAAATTTCAACAACAACAACAACTCTCCTCTCTCTCTCCAATGGAGAGAGAAGATTTTCATAGAGCGGCTTGCTGTCAGAGGTGGACTGAGACTTGACATGACTTGTATGCTCTCGGAGAATTACCCGTACATGTGTCGGTTACACCATACATCATGTTCACCTACATAAGAAAGGGTTTGCTCATGTTATTAGCAATTACTACTCATTACATCTCTGTCTGCGAGCGGGTACTGAGTAGGCCTTGGCGGATAATGCTCGAAAAGGTGGCAGATTCTGCTTTTTTTGCACCGAAATTGGCAGAACCATACAAACCTTATGGCGGGCAATTCCTCGAATTCTGCTCCATTTCTTTATCCACATACCAAACATGCATGAAACTTACCAGAAAAAGTACCGAATTCTGCCAATTTTTCTGCCGGCATTATCCGCCAAGCCCTAGTACTGAGCCCTTTCCTGAGGGAAGACCTCTATTGTGCCGTACTCATTATTAGCAATATGTGTGCCAATTTCCGCTTAACATAATAATAATAATAATAATAATAATAATACTAATAATGACATGAAGTTGATTGTTCTATGTTCGTAATAATAATGACAGTTCGCATATCACTCATTGCATGAGGTCAACTCATCTGTTGACAATTTCGAGCCAAGCAGCTCTATCAGAAGCAGATTGCACAGCAGTCTGCGTTGCCTGCAGACTTGGGATAGTGGGCTTAACATGATCCTAAGTAAATAGTGCCTGACATATTCGTCACTCCTTGGTTGTTGTTTTTTCAGGACATGAAAACGATAAGCACTGTTCACCGTGAATTCGCCTCTCACGTATGAATGGCAGACATGAACTTGACGGGTGGCAATACATGTACATACACTGTCATTCATTTCCTGGCAGGAAAATTCGCAGGAATTCTCAGCCGAGAAGTATTCTCAAGGCGTCTACCGACACGCCGAGCCAAGTTTCGACACGAATGTTCGGCTTGTCCTGCACAGGTCCGGCCATGGTTGGCTCCTTTTATCCCATACTGGTACTATGGGGTGGCAGTCACACCTCCGAGTGCAGTTCTGAATAGGAGGTAGACGCAGACCCGGAGTGCTTACATGTACAAGTAAGAGCGTAGTAAAACGTCAGCGTAGATTCGGTCACACATCAGTGTCAGAAAAGCAGAGGTGAGGAGAGGAACAAGGAACAAGGAACAACACGAAGAAGCGCTTCATTTAGCCCGTAAAGCCACGGAGTCAGAAATGGAGAGGCCGAAGCAACGGTATCAAAATCATCTCCAAGCCTCCGATACCGCCGGCTTTACAGGTATGTCTGAACTTTTAAAAATGCAGAAAGATTTACGGCTCGCCTGCGCGCTTGTGGCAGTCTAGAAATTCTTATGCATAGTTATGATAGGATTATGTTTTAGTTCGTTCGTTCAGAATTGTCAAGAGGGTGTGTGAGAATAACATCTTTGATCTGAGTAATGAAGAGTCCCCAATCTCCAAACTGAATGAAGCAGCTATAGGCCTGGGTGGTTCTGGAGCCTAGCTGCATGTCTCCAACACACTATGCATATCCGTGTGCATGCTGCTGAAACCCCCTTCTGCTTATACCATTACATTGAATGTCGCTTCACTTCCCGATAGTCGTACGGAAAAGGAAGACGCTGCAAGAACACGCCTTTGCATTGTGCTATTCTGTTCTTTGCAGATGGAGGATTGGATCGACTGTGCCCATCGCGGGGTAGGATAGGGCTACGAGTACAGTCAATGAAACGTCGAAGGACCACATACGCTACGCGCACGGCTGCACCATGGACCATAATACTAGTGACCGTACTTCTGCTGTTCCTAATCACTGATTCCTCTTCATTGCGAGGGGCTGAAGGTTGGTTGGTCCTAGTGTGTTACTGCTGGTGTTTGGGCAATGTTGTTTTCTGCAAAAGGCCCAAATTTCATTGAAAGCTAGGTTAATAATATGTTATGATTGCTGCAAGATAATGCAGACAGCTGTGGAGAGCAGGTAGTGAAACCTGAATACAGAATGCCTACTGGCACGTAGCCGCTTGCTGTAGATATAACACTACCAGTAGTGGTTTCCTGGACCAGCTGAACGTCCTGATCATGGCCTGCTGCAAAGTGCCTGTTTTGCTGTTGCCGCTTTGTTTCCTAAGCTGTCCTCGCCATGCGAAAGTGCCCATTAGAGTTTACAATGGCTGTACGTTTGGTTCAGCTGTTACTCAGAGTTTTATAGCTTTTAGGCGGCCCTCCGACAGCACTATGCTTCATTGTAAGTTACCTATTTAGTAAAATGAACCTTCCACCCCCGCCCCAAATCGGCCTGTTATAATAAGCTGTGGCTTAAAGCCTTTGGACGTACAACACCAATGTTTTAGGAGCTGCATTATTATTACTATTATTATTATAGACAACACCTTATAGATAAAATATGATAGATATATGCATCTGCGCCTTGATCTTTGCAGGATGGTAGCGTTCCTACGGATGCTGAAAACCGTGCTATTTGTTTAGGCGTACAAGACCATGTGCTGCCCAATGACGGACGAAAGCTGCTCTTGAATCCACTGAACTGGACCTTATTTTGCCATGTTTGCAGCCATAGCCATTCCGGCCCCAGAGAGCACCACGGGTGACGACGACAGCCAAGGTTCGGGCATGCTGCCACTGTTTCTGTATGAGGAGGAGGGAGTGATCCGTGTGCTCCAAGGGGAGCGACTGCTGATAGATTGCACGGCTATATCGCTGGACCCTATACTCTACAGGTGAGTAATATATTTGGAACCTGAGACTTCTTTGGGGAGTCCTTTAGAAAACAATAAAAATCACAAATAAATGGAACACATCGCTACAAACCCCGCACACATCGATGTCTTTCTACTCGAGTCGCCAGCAGACCTGTTTCCTAGTATTATTACAATACATTGCTCAACATGTCCATATTCATTCCCTGTTTGTGAATGCAGGATCACTGATAATGGCGGAGAAGTCCACGATAAACAATTCGTAGACATCAATTCAGTGACGTTCAGTGAATCCGGTAACTGGACGTGCTCCGCTAGCAACACGTATGGTGTCAGCACCCTGGTGTTCGTAGTGGAAGTCATTAACGACACATCAGGTTTGTACTGCGTATGCTGTTTACATGTACGCAGAGAGAGAGAGATGGGGAGAGAGAGAGACAGAGAGAGAGAGACAGAGAGAGACAGAGAGAGACAGAGAGACAGAGACAGAGAGACACAGAGAGAGACACACAGAGAGACACAGAGAGAGACACAGAGAGAGACACAGAGAGAGACAGAGAGAGAGAGAGAGACAGAGAGAGAGAGACAGAGAGAGAGAGACAGAGAGAGAGAGAGAGAGAGAGAGAGAGAGAGAGAGAGAGAGAGAGAGAGAGAGAGAGAGAGAGAGAGAGAGAGAGAGAGAGAGAGAGAGAGAGAGAGAGAGAGAGAGAGAGAGAGAGAGAGAGAGAGAGAGAGAGAGAGAGAGAGAGAGAGAGAGAGAGAGAGAGAGAGAGAGAGAGACAGACAGAGAGAGACAGAGAGAGAGACAGAGAGAGACAGAGAGAGACAGAGAGAGACAGATAGAGACAGATAGAGACAGAGAGAGACAGAGAGACTGAGAGAGAGATACAGAGAGAGAGAGATACAGAGAGAGAGAGATATAGAGAGATACAGAGACAGACAGAGACAGACAGAGACAGACAGAGAGATACAGAGAGAGAGAGATACAGAGACAGACAGAGACAGACAGAGAGATACAGAGACAGACAGACAGAGATACAGAGACAGACAGAGATACAGAGACAGAGAGAGGCAGAGAGACAGACAGAGACAGAGACAGAGACAGAGAGAAAAAGAGACAGAGACACACAGAGAGACCTGCAGTACCTTTGCTTTGTGCCAACACAAGAAAATATTTTCCCTCTGACACAGATTGCTATGGAAATCTCTGCAATTACTCTAAAAGGGTGAACTGGATTTTTGTGGAAAAACTAAGAGTATTTTTTTCGCTATTGCTTCCTGTTATTCAAAGGTTCTGCAACACTGCCAGCAATGGTAGGGTTAGGTGATGATGACACCTCGTCCGATTGGATCATTGGACAAGGGCACATAAACAGCCGGTTTCCCAATGGCCATCACATTACACCTCAGCAAGAATCTAGCCCAAAAGTGCAATACACCACGCTCGGACTTGTTGCCTACAGCCTTATTGGCCTCTCTGTCATCTTGCTAATCCTTGCCCTGGTATTCAGAAGGAATCGATTATTAGGATGCTGTGAGGAGACGGTTGATTGGCCGGAACCATCTCTTGATGACACCCAGCGCTATATACCTCGGAAACGTGATGCTGAGACCGATATGGCCACGTCTGTGTGAGTGTTGAGCCCTCGACGCCATAGCCCCGACGGGTCGCCATTATCGAAAGAGGATGCAACTTCCACAAAAAGGGGACAAGGACAAAATTCAACTCCTGATCGAATCTCAATATCTGGCTCCCAACACGGCACTGGATATCAAGGCAAGGGACAAAAATGGGTGAGCGTGGCCATCAATTCCTTGCACAGCCGAGTGTCCGAGCAGGGTCCACCACCTCCAGCAAAATGAATACCAATGCATTGGAAAGGTGCACTAGTTCAGCATCAACAACACCGGCTCAAGACCTTTCGCTTCAAGCTTTCTAATACTGTAATGGCGTACATTACGTGCTGCCTCATTCGCAAACCAGCAATCTGGAGAGCGAGTGATGGAAGGTCGAAGCCTAGAAATGAACTCCGCGACATTTATTGCAGTAATTCTGTAAGGTGATAATGTCCCTACTTTCAATGGAATAAATCTCTAACACTGTAAATAGTCAGTAGGTACTACGCACATACTCTACACTGTCAACAGCTGGCACAATGTTACGTTACTCTCAGCAACAGACACTCGACTATTGCGTTCTCCAAGCTTTCCGTTTCAAGAGGCATGTACAGGATTGTCGAATATTCAATCATGTGTGTGTGTGTACATAATTATTATCAATCTGTATTACTCACTGCTGACCGGAATCATACTTCTTTCCCACACAACTAAGGGACATCATTATTTATTCTGTTCTTTATATTCTTGTTCACTTGCCATCTCCACCACTTTGTTAGAAAGCATTAAGTAGGGGCTGCACCGCAATCAATATAGCTACATGACTGTACTTCAAAGTACACCTCTTTAGATATTCCTGTTTTTCTCTGCAAAATAATTATGGTAGTTCGACTTAGGCGGGTATTCCTTTTTCTGAATGGCTTTCGAGGATGCTCCTCGGAAATGATGTGAATTTGTTGTTTACTATGTTTTCCTAGACGGCTTTGTTTTTTATTGTCCGCAGTCCATTTCTTCATAACACAAAATTTCAAGGCTTCTATAATAATTTTTAAAGTTAATTAAACCAGCATCAGAGCAATGTGCTTTCTACGAACAAGAGATGTATTCACCACCAGACACTTTAAAATTTGAAAGTAAGTTACACATGACACATTGCATCATTGGTCATCACTTGGGTCGTTGGTGCAGTCGAGATGTGATGGAGAGAAACGCCATGCCGCTCAATATCA